AGTAGGCCGTGTTAAGAAATTAAAACAGTAATAAACATATTAATAATTGTACAAAGTTTAAAAAGAGAAAAGTCGCAATCGTACAATGTGAGGCTATGTAATATTTTCCCATATCAATTTATAATGCAATGTCAATAAAAGCTAATTACAACATGTACCCATAATTAATATTCCATCTTTAATACAAAGTAATAAATAATACGAACGACGACGAATAAGAATTATTGTCGTATCATCGATAATTTTGTAGAAAAGAGTGAGCAGACGTGTCATACTGTCTGCAAATATGCCAATTTCATCGTGTTGAGTGAGTATATCCCCTAATTTGTTGGTGCAAAGGCAGCACGTTTGGTACGTGTTACTGGTCTGTCTAGGGGACGCGGTCTACGGCGCGGAGCCACCGTTCCTCCATTATCTCTCTGCAGGTACCTTGGCACCAACAAACCGATACTATCACAACCGACTGGCAGTTCAACTTGTGGTGAATTGTAAATCAAAAAAGGTAGTGCCTAATAGTTGACATCACTCTCCTAAACATTAGGGATTCTAAATCAATCATACCTAAGACGAACAGGGAAGCAGACGCATAAGAGTGGTAACCGTGACTCTTCTTAAAAAACCAACGAGCAAATTTACGTTTTATCCTCTCTAACAAGATAGTATACTTATTCTCATAAGTATTCCACACCACAGCTGCGTACTCTAATTTACTTCGAACATACACAAAGTTTTAGCTACCCTTATATCATCAAAGTCAGGAGAAGTCCTCATCACAAGACCCAGTCTTACTGGCTGACTTGCAAATGGATGTCATATGATAGTGAAAATCTAATTTTGTATCCAATAGCAAGCCTAAGTCACTTATGTCATTACTATTACCATAGGCGCGTCAAATAAGTTATACTTAATTAGTAATGATGGGATTCGGTTTTAATGCAAAAGTAATAACCTTGCCTTTAGTCTCATTAAGAGGAAGATTACCTTACTCCATTTCGATACGCCATCTATGTGCTGTTGAAGAGCCTGTGCAATAGTAGCACCAATCCTTAATTTTAGATCAGCTGCGAATGATGGCACTTCGCAGATTAAACTTTGGTAGGCGTCATGTATAAAAATTTTGATCAGCGTAGGGCCAAGAGTACTACCTTGACAAACACCAGATCTATTAAATAATCATAAGATTCGTAACCACTTACTGTAACGAATTGACGACTATTATCCAAATAACTAGCAAAGAATTGAAGAAGCTTCGGATTAAAACTAAACTTAGCTAGCTTCTATAACAGTGTGTCATTACTCACCAGATCAAAAGCTTTCCTTAAGTCGAAATGAGCGGCGTCTACCTGACTTGTAGAATCCATCTCTGCACATACATAGTCCACGTGTGGACTATGTATGTGGGTTAGTATTTGTTGAGCGATTTCTTCGAAACCCGTGTTGACTGTCTTGCAAAATGTTATCTAACAGTTTGCTAATGCGGAAGTTCAATATGGTTTCAAATATCTTCGTCAGTACCGAAATCACCGCTATAAGACTAAATGCAGAAACATAGTTTCCAGGTTCTCCCTATAGAGCAGGTGTCACCCTAGAAAGTTTCCATTGTTCTGGATATTTAGCCAGTCTAAGAGACAGATTAAAAATGACCAGGAGCGTAGTACTTATTGATAAATCAATTTCATAGTATGTTAATGTAGAATAAAATTAAATTGTAAAATATCAGTGCCATAGGCTTCTAATCCGTTCACCTGTTACACCCTATTTTTTCCAAATAAAAAAAAATCACCCAATAGAATGAAGAAATACATTCCGGAGAGTATCCTTTTATAAATCCATTCGGCATCAGAAATGGATTAGATTTCGACTTACAAAATATTACGTGAGAACGGATTTAAAAAAAAAAACAATAGAAATGTGTAGGAAACGTCAGCGAATTTTAAGATTTGAATACTAAAGTTTGGCATTTTATATCAATTTTTTTCTTTTCATATTTTATATCTATTGTCCTCCATATCGAATTTCGATCACAATGTCAATCAGTCTCAATGGAGACTAGCCATCTGCTCAGGACAAGATTATAGTGCACAAATATGTGCGCGAACACAGGTGCACTCTCTATTCCCTCACTCTCATAATCCGATGGGACGGTAAACCGACACGACCGGAGAGAGATCAGGCGCAGGACCAACGGCTTTACGTGCTTTCCGAGGCACGGAAGCGAAACGCCACCAACTTCCTGACTCCGGGCGGCAACTGAGAATTTAATTTAGAGGTAATAAAAAAAATGATTCCTGAGGCAACCCTTTTCTTTACTTATATAAGGAACCATTTAGCAAACTATTTAAGCTATGTATTTCTATATAGGTTACCCGTTCAAAGATGAATAACATATACACAAGCTACGGATTAAAAATAAATATCCTTATATTATATTATAAATAAATATCCTTATAATTTCTATACTGATCACTGTAAAGCTTGAGTCAACTTCATTGTCCGGTTATTGTTCCTTGATATATTTTTGCATTCGGTTACAGCTTATCGACAACTGATTTATTCTTCGAGAACCTTGTTAAAACATTCCTTTGAAGATAAATAATAGCCAAGTATGAGTTCGGGTTAAGACACGCGGAGGGAAAAAAAAAAAAAGAAAGACTTTATGTCCTATTAAAAAACCTTAAATATGGAAAAAAATTGTGGGTCTCTCATGGGCAAAAAAACTATCCTATCTGTCAAGTTGGACCAAACTGCACACAGTGCAAATTTCATTAAAATCGGTTAAGTAGTTTAGGAGTCCATCGCGGACAAACAATGTGGTATATGGTATGGTAATATGGTAAGTGGATGCTGTGGGCCATAGACATCTACATTTATCTTCAATTAATAATTAAAATGCAGATGCGTTGCCAGCCCTGAGGTCTGAGATGGAATGCCTCGTTTCCAGTTAAAAAGGGTCTCCGGATCTCTACACACCCCATACGAAACACAGCATTATTAAACTATTATTTTACGCTGATATTCTGTAATAGCGTGGTTCTATTCCAGTTGAGCCGACCCATTCGTGATACAACCATAATATAGGTACAGTTTGGCTCTACCGCGTATAAATCACAGTTTTTGAAAATACGAGTAAATAATGCTTCTACTCTCTATTTGAAATTATCCCAAATTGAATGTGATTTATGGGCAAAAACATCTTTGGCTACCGATCTACCCTTACTAATGTGTACGTGCGCCGTAAAATCAGTTAAAATAATGCATTACCACGCATTTTGAATTTCAAAGATAAAAAGGACAGAATGTTTGAGATTTTCTTAATAATTAAATTATTCACCATTTGCCTACATTACTCATTCTGAACCAACTCTGCAAATTTAGCCGGTTATTACAAAATATCCCTTTATTGAAAATTTAAATAAAAAACAAATATTTTTAAACCATTTATTTATAAAATATAAAAAACATATATAACCAGGAGTAGTATATCTAACCATATATTATTGGACCATTACATTGTTTTATACGATTACAAAACTAAGTACAAACATACCACTTTCATGCCTTACAATTTTATTTCTATTTGTATGTGGCTGCAACTTTACAGTAGGAAGGTATTAAAAATAAATAATGTAAATATCTTGCGGTACTGTCTTTTGAGGACTTTTATTTGGAATTTAAATTATTTAGTAAACAACATCAACATATCAGAACAATGTTATCTACGTGCGTATATGTTTTATTCGCAAGTACATAATACTTATTTCAAATAACATACCAAGTCATAAAAAATTAGGTTCTTAACCGAATATTTCTGCATTAATTGGAATAATTAAAATAGAAATGGCAAGCCAATGCGGCAAGAAATACAAAAGGCAAATAAATTGATAATCGACGTCATCCTTAAAACTGACTGATGGCAAATTATTCACTTATTTAAAAAAATATCCTGTACAGACAGCCTGAAGACATGTTGCACCTTTAAATGCATTTACGAATGAATAATATCATAGATTTGTGTTTCGTAAATAAATAAGTTATGGTACACATCTTAAAATACACAACATTACATCGAACATCTGACACCACTAATGGTTAAATGTGACATAAATCGTGTTTATTTCCATCTGCATTTTGTAGATGACGTAAGTGGTTTATATCAGTTTATTTATTTTTAAAAAAAACTTCTTCAAACATAGCTTTGTTTACTTTCACTAAGAATATTTAGTCATTACTTTATAAGATTTCTATAAAATACAATTTGAGCACAACAACATACAAGGCACTTTAATGTAAACATATTTTTTTCAAAATTGTCATGATAGGAATATTATAGTTATAATTGTCGGTTTACTAACCATTGAATGAAAAAATCTTTAAACGAATTAAAATATATATAATTAGAGTTACTCTCGCGCTTTATATATCATCTTTAGTATCATTTTATGATTGTGCCATACCATAAACAATCTCCAAATTAACATACGCGTTCTAATAGTTCTATTAACTCTTGTTGTGTGCAGGCATATTCATCACAGACCAGTCTCAATTTAATAATATATAAATAATATTTTACAAAATAAACGCGACCAATCACCATAAAAATCATATTTTTTTAAAAAACAGGATTTAACAATTATTAATAAAAATTCCCGCCACCATTTCGTGTCACACCTAATATATGTTAACAACAAAATGGCAGGTAATATTCACACGGTGATGATTTTAACTGAATTTTTGGTTGAAAAAGGGTTTTTATATTTTATTCTTAAATATAAGTCTTATATTCGAAATTATATATACCCACTATCACAATAACTGCGGTTAACGACGTTTATTAACTACAGTAGCGATTGGAACTCTGTCGCTGTAACTAATGAATTATTTGCATATGTTTCGTCTTACAATTTTATGTGTTACTAAGCAGCGATAAGGTTCCAACCAAGTTCTCGTAACATTAAATATATTTTATGCTCTAATTCTGGACTACTAGAAACCAAAACGGCTTATCTGGTTGATCTGAGTTTCCAGCGAAGGAATAAGAAAGCGGATACACGAAGAATGATGAAAATGAGACACAAGGCTGCAATGTCTAAAGTAATGTCCGCATCCTGCATGTCCAGCTCTTCCAGAGTTGTATTTGGGTTTTTGAAGTGGCAGTAAATCTGGAATAGATTTCAATAGTGTCAAACTGCTGCTCAAACTTTAACCTAACTAAATCATCAATTAAATGCAGTATACTACTAATATAACGTATACTTAATATACTACAAAATATCTTATGGATCGTATATCATCCATATTATCAGCTGTTGTAACTTACGCTTCTATCCTCGATTAAGAATCTAAATGCAGATTCGTTGAAACCCGTAAGTATTGATATAAAATGCCTCGTTACCAACCACACGGCATGCTACAATGCATATTTTCAATACCGGCATCGGAGCCATCATCAAAATATCACGAATCAAAGATATTACCTCATTTACGGTTACTGGGCTTCGATTTCCTGGTTTCAAAGGATGACAAACGATCATACAGTCCACTTTATGGTAAGTATTGCTGCGGCTCATAGACTTCTACATTTATCCTCAATTAAAAATCAAAATGAAGATGCGTCGTCAACCCTGAGGACTAAGACGGAATGCCTCGTTTTCATTAAAACGAGTCCTGTTCTCTGCACTCACCATACGAAGCACAGCAGCATTAAGCTGCTATTTCATGCCGGTATGCAGTGAGTGCGTGGTACTTCCTTGGTCGAGGCGACCCATTCGTGCTACAACCATAACATAGGTGCAGCGTGGCTCTACCACGTACTTTTTATACTCTGTAATTCAAACAGCAATATAATAGTGTTATTTCACTCTGGCATTTTGTGAGAGGGTGATCCCACTCAGTTCGAGTCGACCTATTAGTGCCGTATTGCTCTATCATGTAAGTAAATTTACAGATACTCACTAGGCCGGATAGCCGGTGGTAAGTGAAAGATATAAAACAATAAAATGCATTTATTTATAACGACAAAGATGGCGTATGCATTACATAAAAATAGAAGTGATATACTACTAACTTACAACCCATCTGAATGTAAGTGGCTAAGTAGGTGTACAGTTTAGTACGAATGGGTCGGCACAACCGGGGATGGACAACGTTCTCACAGCAAAAAAGAAGATAAATATATAATATATTTCATATATATAATAATAAACTTTTTTGTTTATTTCCACATAAGTTTCTGCGTATTCCAAATATTCACTTTTTAGACCTCTCTCGTAGAGACGAACAACACACAAGATGGAATTTCTTAGTCAGACAGCGCAGCAACCTTCTTTCGTCAAAGTTGTTTGCATATAGAGAATGTCCCCAAACTCAATGTACGGAGCTATATGCTGGGTTGTACCAGTTCTAGCAAAAATAAAACCAGGTTACTTTGTTAAGTGATAATAATAGGTATACTTCTGAAAATGTTGAAAATCAATAACCTAGGTCACATATTTAAGTACTGTGACCACATATTTCTAAATTTTTCAGCGTTTTTAATGAAATCCCAAATAAATATGCTATATTGATTGCAGTCACAAATCCAATAACTAATATTGTGACTTTAGTAAAAAAATGTCAAGTGCAAAAGTCTATACTACTATAAGCAAGTTGTTTTAAAAAATGACCCATTTAATTAAGATTTCAAAATTGTACAACACTTGTTATTTATCTTTCCATAAAAAATATTATTGCATATTTACTTAATTTCAAACAAACTTTTTTACCTGAATAGTACTTTTGTTCGCAAAAGCATTTGCTTTATTATTGTGTAAGCGAGACAGGCAGATGTGATAGAGTTAGATAGAGGGTCAAAGTACAATAGAGTGGGATAGACTGACATTTTGTTTTTAAAGAAAGCGAGACGGTAATTGACGACTTCGTTTCTTCGTTTACTGCGCATTTCCTTATAATCGTGTAACTTTCATACTGACAACTTTGGCTTGTGTTACCTGGAATTGATATCGAATTTGTTTTGACGACTTTGGCTGCGTTTCCCTAGACATTATTATTTATTGTTCTGCCAAAATGCCGTATATGTATACTGCGCAAGAATATGCAAACATGCGTATTATCTACGGTGAAAGCCATTGTAACGCCTCTGCCGCAAACACCTAGTGTGTTGATTTTCAACATTTTCAAAAGTATAAATATTATCACTTAACAAAGTAACATGGATTTTTTTTTTCGAGAACTGGTACAACCTAGCTTATCGCCCCGTACTCGCTTTATGTTGAGTTTCGGAACAACCTGTATACACTTTGTACATGCGATTTGTTGTCACTTGGTGAAACTCTAGCTTCGTTTTTTTGATTCAGGTAAACACTTGATGTGCTAGTTTCACAACATTTATTTTAATATTATATTAAATTATTAATATTGTATTTATTATAAAAACCGACCAGTTTCGCCTCATATATTGTAAATGGAATTGCAGCCCACGGACATCAGTATATAATGGGTGCGTTTGGCAGAAAAAAGCGCTAGCAAGCGCTTATAAGCAAAATGGCGATCGTAAGCGGTAAGCGCTGTCAAATCGTAAGTAGCTATTTTCCTCCAGGACACGACGTTAGTTTTAACCGGGGAACCTAACCTCATTTAAATATATGTTTGTAAAGTATTCATATTAAAAACTTACCAATCATGAATTTTAATAACATATATATGTTTATTCATGTCATTATATTACTTAAAACTAATATTGCACAAAAGAACTTATAAACTCTACTTCAAAACAAACAAATTAAATAAGCAAAATGGCGGATTGTGTCAGCGCTACTGAAGTAGCAATCGTGTCCTGGCCGAAAACTATTTTAGCGCTTGTAAGCGCTTGCTAGCGCTTTTTTCTGCCAAACGCACCCAATGTCCATGGGCTGCAATTCCATTTACCATCAGGTGGACTGAGTTCGTTTGTTACTTGATTTATATGCATATAAAAAGGTGAAGCTAACCTGATGGCACTGCAACTTGGTGCGGTTGAAAGAGTATGTAGCCAACGCGGTGCCCTCGAAGCCGTAGCGGATGTAGGAGAGGTATGTGATCCAGCGCAGGTACACCGGGATCGCGTTGAACGACACGAAGAAACCGCTGAACAGCAGGAACGGCACAGACATCACCGGCGCCAGGAACACTCCGTTCTGCGACAAATGTAATAGTATTAGAAAAAAACTATAAAACTTTCTACAATCATTGACGATAATGGCAAACTATAAAACTGAACGAAAATGAGGTATCTCAACATTAAGTCACGACATTGAGTCGTGTATTAAATCGTGTCACGTGACTTAACCGTGGTTTCATTTATTTTTATAGTTATCTATAAGCCTTAAGGGGAAATATAACCTCAAATGGCTTAGCAAGATCCTCCGTTATGCCGAAAATATTGAAGCATTAATTTGGAAATAAATATATGGTAAAGTTGATGATTAATGTTAAGTAACAGACGAAAACATGATTCCGTAAAATTTTCTCGATAGAAAAAAAATCCAAAGTTACCTCCAAACTCAACAATAAACCGCTGTTATTCATAAAATACTTTAAATAAGATCATAAAACTTTGCATACTAACTGAACTGACTATAAAGCAGGGCTTGTTTTTTATTTTTTTAAATTACCATTATTGAATAAGTACCCGTGACCATGGACCATGCTGTAAAGCACCCGAAACGTCGGGATAATAATAAAAATAATTTAAAGTAATTAAACGCGATAAAATCCGTAAATAATAGTTTTATTCAATGTGTAGTGTTCGCGTAAATTTAAGAAATCAGTAATTACCATTATTTTCACTGTAAAGAGAAATTACCTAAACAATCGGCGTCCTGAAGCTTGGAACCGGGCGGCAGGAAACAGCTGCAATATTTTCGGCATAACGGAGGAACTTGCTAAGCCATTTGAGGTTATATTTCTCCTTAACGATTGTAGAGCGTCAACTTAGCTAACCGCACTGAGCCTATAAGAGCGCGTACAAAGCCACCGTCTTCGTGTCAGTCTGCTCAGAGCGATTATGATTAACTGGTGAAGCAAATATACGCATGTGGGGTCCGACTGAGATGAAGGACCGTGTCTTTCGTGAAATAACTATGTTCGCACTAAAAATATTATAATTGAATATCCCGTAAATTATAGTTAAATTAAAAAAAATCCTTGGTCTCGCTAAAACTCAAAAGCGGCTCGACCGATTTCAATGAAATTATTTGTGTGTTTAAGTGGGTTGCTGGATGGTTTAAACTTTAAATTAACACATTGGACCCGGTAGGTGGCGCTGTTGTCGAAATTCAAAAATCACATGTGCACATATGTATCAAATTTTGTTCCTATAGTTTAAATACACCCTGTTTTTTTTACTTTTTCCTATTTGTTTTTTTTTTATCGAAAATATATTGTCTTATTAGGTACTTGAAAAATTACAGTACAGTAGATAATAAATTATCCTTAGATATCTTTGCTCAGACCGTGTAGTGGCGGCGGTGTAAGAATATCCGCTATCCCATACCATCTCGTAGGTGTCGTAAGAGGCGACAGATTGAAACTGATATAGGAGCAGCATCTTTTGGATAACAGCTCAAAATAATGAAAATTCACGGGCGCATGTCCGCCCCACTAGCGTTGCAACTGTGACCAATATCCCCCCTGTGAGGCAGTCTGTAGGGTGGCCTACGTTCGGTAGTGGACTCTAAGTTGTTATGAAACAGAAACAGAAATTTTTTTATTCAATATAGATTATAAATAATGTGAAAGTCACCTTTTTTAATTTACCACTAATTTGGAACAAACCTCTGTCCTGGGAAGAACAGGCAAGAAATCCAACGGGATTTGTTTATGAGTGAATCATCTTTGTCTTCACTAGATACTTTTGAACTAGATTTACTAAATAAAATGAAATTATAGTTAGCATTGCATCATGGGTGGACGGTAACACGTAACGTAATGAAGGCGTGTGGAGTGTGGAGGGTATGGAAAGTGTGGAGATTGTGGAGAACGCGGGGACCGTGAAGAATGTGGAAAGTGTGGATAGTGTGGAGAGTGTAGAGTGTGAAGAGTGTGGATAGTGTGGAGAGTGTGGAGTGTGGAGAGTGTGGAGAGTGTGGAGAGTGTGGATAGTATGGAGAGTGTGGAGATTTGAGTGTGGATACTGTGGATAGTGTGGAATAGTGTGGAGAGTGTGGATAGTGTGGATAGTGTGGATAGTGTGGAGAGTGTGGAGTGTGGAGAATGTGGAGAGTGTAGATTGTAGAGTGTGGAGAGTGAAGAAAGTGTGGAGAGTATGGAGAACTGTGGTGGGCGGGAGGTCACCTGCACATTCATGGCGGCGCCAACCACGAGGCCGACGCTCTGCGCCACGAAGGAGATGAGCAGGCACGATGTCAGGAACATGGCGAAGCGGAACCACTCCAGCGGCTGCGACGTCAGCAAGTACACGATCACCACGTAGATTACGCAGAATATCGCCTGCCGCGTAAATATATTTAAGTATACACATTTTATACTGTAAATTATCATCCAATATAGACATTAAGGCGAGGATTTCCGAAGTTAAGTCTTTTAGCACTCTCTTCTTCGATACATGCATATTTGTCTATCACGAAGTAAGCGTGCGACAGTAGGCAAAAAAAATTCTTTAATTAATAAGTTTTTGCTTATTATTAGACATATTTTTCCGAGCATCTTTCAAGTAGTATCAATCCTTGAGCGTCAAAATCGTGTCTAAAATACGATATTTTGTCCAACGTGGCCTTAATAACAATGATCATTAATCAATTCTTCAATTGTTTAAACATAATTTAATATTAACGTTAGTTTCCACAACTTTTTTGAGCCATGACGTGGTAAAGCCATGCTATAGTTATGTTATTATGGTTGTAGCACGGATGGGTAGGCTCGACCGGGATAGGACCACGCTCTCACAGAATACTAGCTTAATGTTGCTGTGTTTCGTAGGGTGAGTGTAGAGAGCCGAAGATCCTTCTAACTGGAAAGGAGGCATTCCATCTTAGTACTCACGGATGATAACTCATCTGCATTTTGATTTGTAACCGAGGATAGATGTAGATGTTTATGGGCCGCAGCAACCACTTACCTGTGGAGTGTGTGCTCATTTGTCACCCTTAACCTATAAAAAAACCTTTTTCGTGATGCTGAATTGGCATATAATATCACAGAATTGCAACATCGTTAACATTCACAATGTGCACATAAAAGAATCATGTCCAGTCTTGACCTGAAATTTTTTTATCGCGTCTAGTGATGTAAAATAACTTATAAAATTGCATATTTTTTTCTTATTTCGTATCGCATAATTGAATTTTCAAATAAAGCCAGGAAAAAAGTAATGTTACTTTGTTTTTCATTCTCAATAGACTTTTGGAGACGGAACGTGTTTTACAATGGCTCAAAGGCCCAGAAGCCATGCCAAAATATATTAAAAACGTGTTTACATGTTCCGTTTCAGACTAAGAAAAACTTGTTCATTCGTCATGTGGTTTATGAATGTTCAAAATAACCAATTTCTTTTTTTATAATTAATAAATTTATGATTAGATACGATTTTAATGGTTTTTATTGTGCTATGGTGTAAAAAGAAAAATAAGTGTACAGATGTTATCTGACAGCTGTTATAACCTCAAACACTTATTTACTTAATAACATATTTCCCTGGACTCTAAATGAAAAGAACAAATTATCATAAACAATAATTGATTTTATACAACAGTAGTTGTAGGTAGACGCGACCTGTAAAAGGAATCAAGTGACAGATCATTCAATGTATGGAAAGTCATGCCCGATTCTTTGAAGGGCGCCTGCGATCTAACATCAAACCAAGGGTATTTTTCAAAAGATATGTTTTCGTCATTGTAATTAAATTTAATCGACTTCAGTTTCATAACAAAATTCCTCTGACCGTAGGAGAAAATGCGAATGAAACTCTTAATACGTAATCAAACCATGTTCTATAATAGAATTATAGAATTACACAAAGAAAAATGTTGTAATCTTCTATCAACCAAATCATTTATTTCGCTAAAACATGGGTACAGATGAATGGATACAGAGTCAACATTTATTTCCACATGTTTTGCCTTTTGTGGCATGCGTAAAAATTGTTTAAAATAAATATGTTAAAAAACAAATTTAAATTAAAAAAATTAAAATTGGAAATAATCACTTTTATAAATTTTCTTTTTCTTTCATAAACAATTGATATTTATGTTTTTAGGAAAACATAACAAAAATAGAAAAATTAATTTTTGTTCATTTGAGAAGTATCACGCAAAATCCTGGATCTATAGTAATTTACTTAGTTAAGCAAAATCAATAAAAATAAAATCAAAATTTATGGTTAAAAAATTCTTTGATATTATAAAAGGCAGTATTTATTAGCCACTGCTTTAAACTTTTTTTTCATTCGCCTTAATGGCTGTTCACGAATATTTTTAGGAACTTTATTATAAACCTTGATACACATTATGAGGCAATTCCTCTGGAATAATGTAGTTTTACAAGATGGCACGAGTAGACGTGTCGGATCTCTTTTTGCTAGAGAATTATTATTTTCCTGCACGGTAACAAATTCATTAGAATTCTTTTTAATAAAAACACAGATTTCTAATATATATAAACCAGTTAAAGTGAGAATACTTTTTTCCTTTAACAGGGGTCTACAGCTTTCAAGAGGGCCTACATTACACAGTGCACGAATACATTTCTTCTGACTTAGGAAGGCTTTGTTTGCGTCAGTTGAGTTGGCCCACAAGAGTAGTTCATATCATAAAAGACGGATTCAACGTACCCGTAGTAAGCAATACGTGCTGCTTGTGGACCTGCTACATTTTGAAGTTTACGCAGTACATAAACAAATTGATTAACCTTTTTGCATAATTTTTGTACGTGTAATTTCCAATTTACATACCGGTCCATAGTAACACCTAGGAATTGTGTATCTACTACCTCTACTAATCTTTCGTCCTTATATCTTAAGTCCAATCTTTGTGGTTTTGTTTTATAATTTCCAAATTGAATATATTTAGTTATGTTAGTGTTGACTCGTAAATTATTATCTTCTAGCCATGATATACTGACTCTATAGTAGAATTTATTTCTTGTTCATATATCTGTGACTTATTAATGTGAGGTATAACAATTGATATGTCATCAGCAAATAGTATTGACTGATGATTTGTTATACTCGGTAAGTCGTTTATGTATAGAATGAACAATAAAGGGCCTAAGACACTCCCTTGAGGTACCCCATAGTCATTTTGTAGATAAGATCAATTATATGTTAACTCTAGTTTATTATTAATACGTGATACTTCAAGACATTATTTCCGATTTTTCAAATAACTTTCGATCCATTCCAAAGCCGGTCCTCTGATTCCTAGTTTTTCACATTTGTACAACAACTTGCTCTGTTCTACACAGTCAAAGGCTTTAGACATATCAAAAATATGCCTACTGTTGGTACTCTATTATTAATACATTCAGTTATTCGACGTATCAGTGAAAAGGCAGCAAGTGTAGTAGATTTATGTTTTTGAAGCCATTTTGTTCGTTTCTGAGTATATTATATTTTGCTACAAAACTAATAATTCGACTATGCATGGCTTTTTCAAATATTTTGGATAGAATGGGTATCAACGTAATCGGCCTATAGTTATGAATCTCATGACGGTCATCGTTTTTAAATAAGGGTTTGACTATAGATGTTTTTAATTTATCTGGAAATCTTCCATGAATGAAAGAAAGGTTTATTAAGTACGTCAGAATTGGTGCAAATTCCTTCACACATGATTTCAGTATATGTGTAGTAATAGAATCATAACCAACAGATTTAATATTTAAGAGAATTTATTAAAATTATGATTTCGTTTAATGAGCAAGGTTTTAAAAAGATCGATGATTGAACATTTTTATACATATTCCTTTTAATTTTATTATTTAAAGAAGAAAGGTCGTGAAGAGCTGTACTAATAAAATACTCATTAAATTTACTGGCAATGACGAAAGGATGATCTATTTTAGTTCCATTACAATTAATCCAGTCAATATTATTATTTCGTGTATCATTATATTCATAATTTTTAATGATTTCCCAGGTAGCTTTACTTTTTGAATGTAACAGGTGTTTCATGTTTAAATTTTTTTTCGACCATGTTACGCAACTATTAAATCATTTTCAATATTTGTTATAGATTAATTTGTTTTCTAAACTTTTTGTTTTGTAATATTTATGTTTTAGTTTTCTTTTAGTTTTACTTGCTCTACAAACCGTTACATACAGATAGATAGACCTATGTACCATTATGTTAACAAGTTGCGCTTAAGAGTGTGAACGAAGATACTGAAAGTACGAGAGTAAGAGAGATAGCTAGCTATCTTTACACAATTGCACGTACGTGCTACAACTGATTCTTGAAACAAGTACAAATGGTTTTTAGGTCGTAGTAGAGTGAGTATATAACATATCTACATCTATATATTAATCATAAATTATTGTTATCGATAGTAAGTTTCAAGAATAAAAGCTAACCTGGAACGGTATGTCGGACACTGTGATCGCCAGATAGTACGAGCGCAGGGAATACCATCGGTTGAAGTGCTCCTTTACCAATACCGGCATCTCCAAGGGAACTGAAATTGTAACAAAATAGAAATAAATCTCCTCTTTGGTAATTATAACAGCATTTCCCTCACAAATTTCAATAACAACGGTATTCACCACTTAACAAACGAAAGCTGAAGACTGCGGCGAGCTTACATTATGAGGATGGTCTGACCGATAGAGATGTCACCTTCTGCATACAGTCGGAAGCATTTCAAGTTTTAAATCCGAACTGCAACTGTATTATGGCTGTAGCACAAATGAATCGGCACAACCGGGGAAGGGCTACGTTTTAACAAAATACCCACGTAAAATAGCAGCATAATGCTGATGTGTTCTGTATGTTGAATGTAGAGAACTGCAGATCCTTTATGAATGGTAACGAGGCATTCCACCTTAGAACTCAAATCCCTAAGTTAGAGTGCTTTAGCCTCAGGCCGTGTTAAAGATGTCACCTCACTCTAAGGACTAGTTAACTCGGCTTACCTGCATTAACTTTTAAATATTAATTTTTGGTCCTCGATAAAACCCGGAAAATTAGTTTCGATACATAGCAAAAATCCATTTAATAAAACTAAGTTTCCAGATTTTATCGCGGACCAAATTTTTTATTTTATTTTAGTGTCCTCCTTATATAGAAAAGGCTTCCATTTAAAGAAACAGTTTTATAGATATACAATTTTATATATTTACAGTGGAAACAACCTTATTTCATCAAACGCATCCATTGTATCAACAGTTTCGCTAATACTTACAGCTGAGGATCGTGATGGTCATGGACGTGTACATGAGGAACAACATGTTGAAGAAGAGGAAGCCGAGGTTCGAGAGCACCTTGGATCCGTCGTCTCCGATGTCATAATAAAGCGCGCCGATCAGGAACCCGACCAGGATGTGGGCGAAGAGACGCAGGTACATCAGTGTCTGCGGGCAAAAGGAATTGTTACAGGTCATTCTCTATCAAATAGAAAGGGTTAATTATAACACATTATCGTATTTGGTGACAAGAATCAAACGCGGTGTGTCTGCCAAGTTCGCGTTCTTTAGGCCTTTCCCATAGACTTTTTCTAAGGGGGGTTGCCATAGTTGCTGTTGTAAGTTTACATAAACCATATCGAAACACGTTCCCATAACTCAAAAATTATCAAACCCTAAAATACTTGTAATTCCAAATTTGTTTAATTTTATTCAATTAGAATAAATCTAGTATGATTCTTGAGTTATTAAGTAGTTAGTTATTAAGGTCTGAAAAGTACCATTTTTAACACTTACTCACTTACTACTCACTCATCAAAAATCAAGATACATTCTAGGTGTGATTTAGAAACTTTAAAATTAGTATCAAGATGGATCATAAAGTGTATATAAAAGAAAATTTCTGAAAATTACAAAAAGAAAACTACAAGAAATTAATGACCCAACAAAAATATAAATACGCAGAGGAGGACAAGTTCAGTACAAACAACAACTTCAACGGCTTCGCCGATAAAAGAATTAGTATTTGAGTAGCCGTATAGGTTATAGTTTTATGTACATACGAAAAATTCATAAAATAAATGACCTTAGACAATCTCCAATCTACGTTACATTAATATATTCTATCCAGGCGACGCAGGGCGGGTCGCTACTATAAAAATAATTATTGTGGTTTTTCTCTTAGTTATTTAATTTCTTCTTCAAATCCAATCGGTTCTAATATTATCGACTTACTACTGCAATCTATATATATATATATATATATATATATATATATATATATATATATATATATATATATATATTGCGAAAAACCACCGAATGACTGACCGACTCATCACGATATCTCTAAAACCGGACACCCGAATAAAATACTATCGTGCGCCCAGCGAAGCGAGCGGGTATCAGCTAGTTACATAACATGCAGGTGCTGAGGTATTTTCTTATAACAACGACAATTGTCTTTTTACGTTAATTGGTATCTTCTAGAACCTTTCGCATAGTGGTCGTAATTCAATAAATGTTTACGTTTGCATAGAAAGCAAACTGTTTTATATCTTTCAACTTCACGTTAGTATACTGGGTGATTTTTTTACCGTATGGAAAAAATTAGGTTTAACAGGTAAACGAAATAGAAGCCTACAGCTATTTTACAATTTTTTTACATAAATTCATCTATCAATAAATACTACTAATAATTCGGTGCGTAGTATTTTAATTTTGATAGTTTTTAATTAATTAATTTATTTAGTTCAAAAATTTTATCTTTATTTTTTACTACCGAAGGTTTACTTCAAATTAGTGACACCTTCATACTCTTCCGTGCGCGCAATATACTTAAAAAAGGGGTATAAAGTTTTTCTTTTACGTGTTAAACGACAAAGTCAGTGCAACTGGCGTAAACACCCATCTCATTCAGCACTAAACTTACATGAAAACTTTTTCATATGATATAGACAACGGACAGCACTAACTTGTCTATGGCGCGTGTTATTGATACAATATAAATTGTCTTGTATTTCGTCGTTAAAATACGCCTAGAGTTACTTTATCCACTTCGTGGCAGGACTGTTCTTCCGTCTAAGATTCAGCCTGGGTAGGTATCACTCTTGCACTGCTGTGATTCAGTCTGAGGGCTACAGGAAGCCAGTATTTATAGACTGTGAGGCATTCCATCTTAGTCCCTAAGCCGTTTATACATATTGACCGAGCGAAGGCGAGTTCCAACGTGTGGTCAGAACATTTGCCTAGCCTCGCCGTTGCTCGTCGTCGTTCGCCTAGCTGGCCGAGTGCAGGCGAGCGCCAACGAGTACACCGGAACAGTGTCGGTTTTTCTACATACATCAAAAGCGCTTGCCTGCACTCGGCAAGTCGTGTCCACGTGTTAGTCGGCCATGTCAGTATGTTCACTTATTCAAACATGGCCAATATGTAGGCTCGCGTTGGTTGAAAATTGGCCAGCGTCTGTAGCGTTCTTTGCTTAAAGGTAGGAGTTTGGATGTTGCAGGTGTGGACTGCTGAAGCCGTTTACCATCATGTGGAATATAAGTGCGTTTATCACTTTAATGTTATAGAATTAAAAAGGAATCGATCCAAATAGAGTGTACTGTTTATCTACGCTTGTTTCAAGTATTTAATTTAAACTTGATAAAGAAATTTCACTTGTCATTGGTATTTATATTAACAAAAAGGTATAAAAAGCTTCATACTAGAGCAATATATGGTTTAAAACCAAAAAAGGCGCTCAGACAAAAATTTATGGAAATTTATTTTTGTGTACGTACATTAAATTTTCATAAACGTATTGAGCGGCCGGAATTAATACATTAAAGTAGTTTTGCAAAAATAAGCGATAATTATTCTGTAAATACTAGAAGCATACACAAGCTAGTAGTACGAGTTACTCGCCTCCACCGAGTCGGTAATTCATTCTTGGGGCGATGTATACGCTTTTACAACAAAATACCAGAAAATATACAAATTTTGACATACACATTATTAAACTAAGTATAAAAAGGGTTATTATAATATTAAGGAATTTATGGATGATAATAACCCCTGGGAAGGGTGATCGCTACCAAGCTACTAATTTATTTCGTACATGATTGTAAGCTAATATTACACTTTGAAAAAAAAAATAGTCCTGCTGGGTTTCTTGCCTGTTCTTCCCAGGACAGAGGTGTTTTTTGCGAACCAGTGGTAAATGAAAAAGTGACTTTCAATAAGTATTGTAATCTATATTGAATAAAAAAGTTTCCGTTTCTGTTATTACAAAAAGTAGGAAGTCGCTTATCAAAGGAAGAGAAAAGAAAAAACAAAGAGGTGCCAAAAAACAAGCAAAAGGGGCCGCACCGGAATTTTCTTTCAAAAACTAAACTCTTCATGTTTCTACGTAAGTAATTAGTCTTTTGTCGAAAGTATTTGCTGTTAGTAAGAACTTACCCAATCCCTCCTGCTGAAGAGTAAAGTTCTCTTAAGCACAACCCAGAACTGCGTAAGCTCAGAAGTGGCGTAGCGACGCGGAGAGACCACATCTCCTAAGAGCGCTTCTTCTACGTTGTCTTGTTTCTCGCCGTCTATTTGTACTACCAACGGTTCTCCTGACAATAACAAAATATTTTGTTAATTTTTAATATGGCTGAGAAGCTATCACAAAATCAGCCTAAAATTTAACAGCTATTCGTCAGCCTACCCCGTAACCTCCATATCCCTCCTGATTTCATCATGGCCAGGCACAGCAGGTTTGCAAATCACAGTGCTTAGTTTTTACTTAAGTCATGTAACTGCTTATATCTTGACTCTGGTGACTAGAGGAGAGCTGGTAAAATAGTTATCCCGTTATGAATTAAGAACAAAAGGATAATCAAAGGATAGGGTGTAATTAGATGGGATATTAGGGTAGGATAGTAAAAAGAAGAATATCCCTGGTCTGATAGAAAGGATAGGAGTCAGTGGTAGCTTGGGCGATCCGGATTTACGTACCCGTATATCATGCGTCAATTACTAGGCAATATAATCGAACATATTCCTGCATTTGATAAATAAAAGCCATGCTCCTGTGCTGTGTCAAACTCATGGACATGTATAGCTGTAGCAAATTTAAACAAAGAGAAATGTAAATGTATTAATCCAAAGGACTGAAATAAAACTACTTGTTCTTTATTCTTTCTTTAAACCGATACCGTGTAACTGCTGCCTAATTGCAAAAAAGGCGATTACGTAGATTAGGATGGACACCAAGTCAAAACTCTTTCGTATTGATTTATTGTCCACTGAGGCTAAAGATTTAAATACGTAAGTTCACATCACATGGTGCAGATATCCGGCTACCAAACGTGTCGAATACTTGCCATATTCATATCTTCTCCCCCTACTATAAAAAATACCCATATACACTAGTGGACTGTTTATAAAATAACGAGAATGAATATGTGTATAAGTGATTCTAATACATCGAATAAAACTAAATTTACGGATTCTATCGCGTTTATTTAACTGATTTTACTTATTTATAATTCCCGACGTTTCGGGTGCTTTACAGCAACCATGGTCACGGGGGGGGACTGAGATGTTTGACGTCCCAATGTCATTGTTAGCCCGGTTATTTTTGAATTTAATTTTTGGTCCGATTTACACAAAACGAACTTACAGTATCTTGAAGTCTTGCAGTGGTATGCTTGGGTTTGGGTTTAATTTTGTTAATTATAGGATCCCAAGCAGATGGCAGCACCCAACCATCTTCTCTATTTTTTTCACAGACTTCCCTCGGAAGTCTGCAGTCTGTGAACATGTTCAAGATCGTCCCCACCATTACATCAGATTTGATAAACCACAAATCCTCGCAAAAGAACACCGATTCCTACCAAGGATGATACGCGAGGCTATTGAAATTAAAAAACATCCTAATTTCAATAGAGAAGATGGATGGGTACTGCCATCTGCTTGGGATCCTATAATTAACAAAATTAAACCCAACTTCTTACTTCACTATCATAGCCCGGGACAAAAAACCGACCTGACCGAAAAGAGATCAGGGGCAGTAACGGCTTTACGTGCTTCCGAGGTACGGGGGTGAGAGGTTTTTCTTATAACTGATTTATGTATTTCTTCCTTGGTCTACCTAATCTCTTTTTCCCTCAACGTAAATATTTTTTGGTATCACATAATTTACCGTAGGTAGTATGTATACAAATTTAATATTTTTACTTATTTTTACTTAAAAATTGCACTTGGGAACAGAAAATATACTCAACAAGGTAGATTGTTAAAACAATCACGAAGGGAGTTTGGTTGAAGCCAGGCAGGACAAAATATCGTAATTTAAACACGATTTTGGCGCGCGTGAAATAATACATCTTGAAATAGAATGAGTATGCTGGCATAAATACGCGCATACATGAAATACTCAACTAAATTGTAAATCAAATGGATTTTTAAAATACTGTGTATTAATCGAATAAAAAAAATAATTTCATTGTTTGGAAAAAAAATTACGTTCCGGCTTTCGTTTTTTTACGCGATCATAGTTAGGATTTAAACTAGACAGTAATCTAATAAAAGCAATATAGAATGTGTATTAAATACATTGTCCAGGTTTATATTACGCTAAATGAGTTTAAAGAACCACTAATACAAATACAGCCAAAATGGCCTACAATACGTATGCGCACGCGTGGTTGTACTACGGTATATCCTTGTGAGGAAACTACACATACATCCAAAAACTCTTTGTCGCTCAAATAAAATGTATAAGGATTTTAGGAAATGTTGACTTTAGGGAAAGCTGTAGACGATATTTTATACAAAAACACTCACGCCTGTCACCCAGAGGGGTAAGCAGAGACTACAGACTTCCATTTGGCACTATCCTGACACACCTCTCTTGCCTCCTTCACATCCATACACCTACGCATACATGCTCGTCTGTTAAGGGTACTCCTAATTTGGCCCGTTTTCAATAAATCGCCAATTTGGTCGATAAATTTTCGCCTAGGACGTCCCTTTCCGACTCTGCCATTCACTTCTGCACCATAAATTTTCTTTGTCACTCTTTCCTCATTCATTCTTTCCACATGACCAAACCACCGAAGCATTCCTTTCTTAATCCTGGTCACAACATCATCTTGCAAACCACACTCTTCTCTTATTACACAATTTCTTACCCTGTCATTCAGATTCAGCCCTAACATACTCCTTAACGACCGCATTTCTACTGCGTTTATTCTACTCTCGTGCTTCTTCTGCCACACCCAACTTTCACTACCATACGTTAAAGTAGGGACCAACACAGCATTGTGAATTGCCATACGTGCCTTTTTCGACACATTTTGACTCTTCACAATAGAGTGCAAGGCCCCATTTACTCTATTTCTATATATTTATATATTATTTATTTTATACAATACAAGATATTTACAGTTACATCTTTAAACATATTAGAATCATGTAAATGATTAAGAAAATATACAGATATATTTCAAAATACTGGTGATAATAATATAAATAGACACAATATACAACTTAGGAAGAGAAATAAATTGATATTGCCTAAAACCACTTTATACAGTTCTGGACCATATTCCATGGCAGTTAAATTATATATGTATATAATACACTAACTACCCAAAAGATATTATAGAGATATAAGAAGTTTGTGACAGCACTAAATAGCTTTTTAATTAACAAATGTTACTATAAATTAGATGAATATTATGTTGAATTGAAATACATAAATAAAGTACTAGACTAAATACTATAATAACCCCTGCAATGTATAAAAATATATAAATATTAGTATTAGAATTAAGGCACTAGAGCTATCTAGCTTTATTACATATTGTATATACGAGTATTATATACCTATATTTACATACATTACAGCTCATGCATGTGCTGTAATGTATCACACAAAACCACATGTAAATGCTATAAATAAATAATATTTTTCATTAATATGAAAGGCATGTGATATATTGAATTAGATTCTTCATCGATTATACTTTTACTTAGATCATTTATTTGTTGATAATAAGCGAAAACGTTACAAATTCGTTTTGTCCGCCGAATGTCGCACGCTTATCGCTTACTTCGTGCTGAACAAATTTAATACTAACGCAGCAGAGGAGGAAATACTCGCCTTAATACACACATTTACTTGCACCGTGCGTGTACTAGGTCATCGACCATTGACCCTTATTGTTTCAAATGAACGGCATATTTTATATTTTTAAACATTTCAATAAAACAAAGAAAAATAATATGTTTCTTTGTTAGTGGCGGACAAAACTGAATGTTAATGTTTGCAAAATTTTAAAACAATCACATTTTTATACCTAAAGGAATGATTTATCGCGCGTACTAACTTGTTGGCAAAAACTAAACGAATATCAAAAAATATTTTCTACAAACACCTTTATTATCTACATAATAAAGGTGAACTTAATTGTGTAGGTTTAGAATTAAACTCATTATCATCATTACTATAAATACAGTGATGAACCTCGAACTCCCCCGAAACACACCATTCGAGAATCTTTCTTCCCCGTCGGTTGTCGGTTGAAATATGTTGTTATCTCTGGTTCTACTGCGGATATACTCATTACGAATTCTATAGCGCAGAGGAAAACCGATTACATCCCTCTCCATAGCTCGCTCAACGACCATAAGCTCTTTTATAAGCAGTTTTAAATAGCAGTTCTTTTTAGTTAGGCACTGCAGTGTCTAGTGATTTTGAACGGGACATCCAAAAAAGTTAAGCGAATTTGTGTAAAACTGATTGTGTTTTATAGAAGAAATGATAAAGAAACTACATTACTAACATGTTTAGAATTCTAAGTAAAATACATTATTTAAAAGTTGGGATTCAGAAGCTTACTGAGCGAAATTAAAATTCTTTTACAGTACAGTAGTACCACGTTTCAGATACATACGTCAATATAATACTGACAACACGCATTGGTTGTATAAACTTGTTTTCAAGTTTTGAGGAATGCGAGACGACGAACTCTGCCCAGCCGAGTTGGATCCGTCGATTGACCTCTCGGTCGAGGTTGGACTTACCATCGTCGGGAACATACTCGGCAATAACTTCGAGCGTAGTGCTCCCAACGACCGGCATACGAGTGACATGGATGTTGCACATCACCTTTGTCTTCTCCATGTTCATTTAAAGATTATTGAGGTCATTGACCAAAGTGCTAAGGTCCTTCAGCGATTCGACAATTAACCTTGCACGGCTATTTAGATTTTGTAACTTTTAACAGCCTCATTGGTCTAGTGGTAGTAAACGCGGTCGCTGATTATAAATTCCGGTGTCGAATCTCGGGTTGGGCCAAAATCAGTTATTGTGTTATTCAGTCAAGTAATACTCAGTAGCAGCCTCCTTGTCTCGGAAAGCACGTAACAGCCTTGGTTCTGCGTCTGGTCGGACTAAGAAATATAGAGCGCACCTCTGCCTGCGCATACACTCGGAAATTTATAGTAATTTTTAAATTAAAAACTATATATTTTTTTACTTTATGATTATTTCAAAATGTAACAATAAAGAGACTTATTAAGATTGTTGTTTCTTTATAAACAATCAACTTATTCTCATTCATTTTCTAGTTAAATGTCTTTAATTTGATCTCCATGAAAGTCATGTCCATTATTTTTAATAGGCCGTAGTAGAACAAATTTAGGCAAATATTCCCCGTGTGCCTCGGTTATCGTATCTTAGTTTGATTCATCAATTTACAATTTGACACAAGAAGCGATAAACTGATTGAAAATATAATAACTATTAATTAGGTAGTATTTTATTTTATTATTAACCTAGAGGTAAACCCCATATATTAGCAAAATGGACAAACTCAGTAATAATAAACAATTTTAATTCAACAATTAATTATATTACTTGAAAACTCGAACAATAAGTTCCGATCCGATCCTTTCCCAAAATTTATAATAAAATATTGAAAGGTGTTATTGAACCTTAACTTTTTACTTCTTTGTTTTCTTTTTTGCTTCACGTTTTTTATTTAAATTAACATATCTAATACGACATATTATGTTGTGGTTACCCGTTACAAGAGAGCAATGTGCAGGTAAATCTATTTTTATCTTTAAAACCTGCACGACGAGTGTTACTGCAAACTCCATTACGAGCTCTTGTTTTTTTAATTTTTTGATTTTTTTGAATTGATTGATTAAAAAAATAAAAATAAAACCTTAAACTTTAAGATTTACTAAAATATCCGCTGGCAGTGTATTGTTAAGGTCGTCAAAACACCCATAACTTGTTAAAAATAATCCACACAGAGATTTCTAAATAATTACATTAATACATCACTCATGGACGGTCAGCAAAAAATTAACCTAAAGAAAAAAAAATATCGACAATCGGTTTATTTGCAAAGTCATTCACCTTGGCGCTTTTATTTATATTTTGTTATGGAAGCTTGTAAATAAAAAAAGATTCAAAGCTGTACCCTCCAAAAATAATCACGTTTATACGAAAACGAATTTAATTTCGATCGGATACGAATTTAAATCGGTGGCCTATAAAGTACAGAGATAGGCAAAGACCTAAGCCTAACCCATACTGGGACAATTATCCGAAACTAACACGCTTTACTGATAGAATAACGATCCAGGTACTCTCGCACCATTGACGTTGCTTCTTTCTTTCCGTCGTCGGACTAAACATTGCACGACTACCGAAGGCTTCAAGATCTTCGAGACATTCACGGGACTAAGTGGTAGGAGATTCTGCCTAGATACCAACCTATTACCTATTTCTGGAGCCAAATAACAGTGCCAGCCTCCGGTTTGTCACTACAGTATAACAAAAGAAAGAGATAGACGATGGATTCTGTTGCGCCGCCACCGCACAGCGGTCTCACGAACCAAACGCTATTCTCTATCAAAGCCGGCGCTTGACTACCATCCCACCCGATGGTAAACAGTGATGTGGTCGAAGAACGAACTACTCGTATTGTCATCTACTATGGGACTACTGTTCTTTATCCCATGCAGGTTTCGGGCCTCGGGGAATTCCCCATTACTCGGGTAATCCTCACAACCTATCATATGCGCAGCATATCTATGGGCCGTACATGTACGACATTGTAGGTAATCTTCATTGGCGTATTGCGCGCCACCAGGTCGGTGCTACCGGAGGGTCGGCCGTCTCAAAGACCCGCGGAGTCCCGAGGTAAGGAGTCGACGCAGGGCCAATCTTGCCGACAGGAGTGCGCTCCGGACAGCAGCTGCTCCGGGCCTCCAGTGCTCCTTCCTGGCTCTAGATGATGGCCTGGTATCCCTAGGCAGAAGTTGGCGTATCTCGCGCCTTTGGGAAGGGATCTGCCGAAGGGTCAGCAACCTCCAGGTCCCGCGGAGACGCATCTCGACGCGGAGCCGAAGTTACCAACAGGCGCGCGCTCACAGCAGCGCGCCGGCCTTCGAAGTTCGCTTCCCAGCGTGTAGATGAAACGCAGCGTTAGGTACTCAACATTCCGAGTGGGGTCAGGGGCTTCCTCGAGGCTCCAGGCAAGCCGAGTTGGCCCCACAGCACGTGCACACACTGCGAAGCGACGCGCTGTACTTCTCCCACCCGGGCGGTAGTCGACGACCGGCGGACGAGACCGCTTGCTAGCGCGGTCCGGACGAGACTATCATGAACGAACTACACCGACTTAGCTTAACAAAAGCCAATTCACTCTTGCCTATAAGACTACCACCGATCTATACAAATAAATAAAATTGTAGTGTCTGTTGGTAATGTCAAAATAACAGCTTTTACAAAATGCATATGAAAGTATATACGGTACTTATAGCAAAAACAAAACTATTTTTAAATTTTTTGTCTGTCTGTCTATGTGTCTGTTTGTTCTGACTAATCTCCGTAATGGCTGGACCGATTTTGACGGGACTTTCACTGTCAGATAGCTGATGTCGTAAGGAGTAACCAAAGCTACTACATTTAAAAAAAAAGAATTAGGGTACCGCGCAAAGAATTAAAAACAAAAAAATTAAACTCATTAAATCGTAATAAATTCCACGCAGACGAAATCGCGGGGGATAGCTAGTATTTAAATATTATCTGTACTAGAAAATTGTGCCACTGCTCTGCTTTGCTTTAGTTCAAACGCATGGTATGTTGCCAAAAAATAGTTAGAGACTCGGAGAGCGTGTGGTCAGTCATCTAATGATGGAAGGGAGAGGGTTGAATTAAGTTACGTAGCTCCGTAGTGAACGTAAAGAGAGGCTGGCTGTTCCGCATCTGTGTTAAAGTTAATCTGAGATTCCAAAGCTGCGAGTTTGTAGCACAAACCCATGTGTGGCTGTTCACCGTAAAACATTCTGTAAAATACAAATATACACGCACCTTTCCCTTTGGCGATTTCCTTAGCTGCATACTGGAGGAGTCCGTTCTGCAAGTTGCCGGTGCCGTTCGCCTCCTTTGCGGGTCCGTCGCTGAACTTCTCCTGGACTTGGGACAGGTCGTTCTTGTTCCACTGCGAGGCGGATTTTAGCGACACCTCCATATCCCTCCTGTTATTGAAGTCCGGCACCTTCGCTTCAGGGAAGGGCATGCCGTTTCTGCAAACGAAGTACTTTTTTGGGTAAATTTTGTACAAGTACATTTAAACTTGCTTTATACGTAGTAGAGCCATATCGTTACAGTTACACAGTTACAGCTTAATAAAAGTCCACTGCTGAACAGGGGCCTCCCCCATAGATTGTCTCATAGGGGGGATAGTTGCCACAGTTGCCACGCTTGGCAGACGGGTTGGCAACCGCAGCTTTTTTTAAATTTGTATCGTTATTAGGGAGACTGCTGCCAATCAACTCATTGGTTTCCATCTGTCACCTCGTACGACACTCACGGGATGATATGGGATAGTGGATATTCTTACATGGCCACTAGAGCCAGGTAGTAGAGCCATGCTGCAGCTATTATGGTTGTAGCACGAATGGGTCGGCTCGACTGGAGAAGGACCACGCTCTCACATACTACAAGTGTGAAATAGCAGCTTTGCTGCTGTATTTCGTATGACATTTTTACTGAAAACGAGGCATACTTCATCTTAATCCTATATATATCTATATCCTATAAATAAACGGATTTATATGGGCCAACGCATCTACTTACCATCTGGTGGACTGTGTGTTTGTTACGCTAAGGCCCGCCACATACATAGGGAATTCCGTTTCGGGATTCCGTCCATATAAAATCAATGACCTGAAACGAAATTCCGTACGTAGTGTATGACGGGCCTTATATACTATAAAAAATACATACACACTGTGAATTTTTCCTGTATCGTAAAGAAGGGCATGTTGTGTGGAGCACTACGCTCGTAATTATTTTCAAGTATATTTACTTCGGACAAATAGTCCGACTAGATAAGACCAACTTCAATCAAGATGTCAATCAATGGATCCAACTTGGCTAGGCGATACATAGGGTTGACACATACTGTAATATATAGTATGGTACTATATTTCAGTCAATTGTACATATTATAAAAAAATAATAAAATATGAAAAATACTATTTTTTTTAAACGTTACCCCTACACTAAGATTTTCTCTTGTATTGTGGGGGCAGTTTACAAACATAAATTGCACAAGGACGAACATCCAGACCCGGAATAACAACTTGTAGGCCATACAAATACTTGTTCCGTGCGGGATTCGAACCCGCGACCCCCAGCGCAGCCACTCATTGCTGAGCCACTGCGCCACGGAGTCGTCAAATTATTATAATTATTTTATCCCTAACTCAACTGTTGCTTTGTTATATTAACTGTGATTGGAAATCTGGAACGAGTATGTTTTACGGAAAGATTTTTTTTTCATCGTGAATGTAAAATTGAAAGAAGAAAGAAATTTAATTAAAAATAATTTTTAATTATTAATCTAAATTGCTCAGACCCCTATAATTATTTTAAAAGTCAGATTGAAGGTAAGGTTGTTAGACTATTGTTGGCCAAAGCAAAGAGCAATAACAAATATATATGGATAAATACATTCTTATTTGTATTGAGTACCTACATACAGATATATTAAAAATAAATATGTACTTTTTTTCTACGGAATTTCTCAAAAGTACTATATTTTTGCATCCTTTTTGGTGAAAACACTACATTTATTAAAAAAAAGGTGGCAACCTATTATCTATTAATATCAGTTTAATACAAAAAAGTATGACGATAATAGAATTGTGAAATAGCCTTAGATACGCATTGATCTTTGAGTCCAGATAGTTTAATATAGATAGATTTCTGTGTGTAGATAATATTATTGAAGGTAAATCACATAAAATTAGTAAGTGACCTTACATTATCACTTATCAGACATAAGAATAATAAAGTATTATTATTATTCAAGTGATAGTGATAATATTACGAAATTTATGACAAACTATAAAGTCGATAAGTTATTTACTTATTGAGTAGATTGTACTCGTATGCTTGCATAACTAAAACTTTTAGTTTTAATTTTTTTAGTAAAAGTTAATTACCTCTCCTTAAGGGTTTTCCCAACAATTTTTTTGTATTTTGTTACCTTTTCAACGTATCAAAATCCACTGCTGAAAATAGGGCTTTCCGAAAGATTGCCGAATAGGGGGGATATTTGCCATAGTTGGCACGCTTGGCAAGCGGGTTGGCAACCGCAGTTTTTTTTTTATTTTTAGCCGTTATCAGGAAGACGCTGCTGCCTATCTCATGATTTGTTTCCCTCCGTCACGTCGCCTCTTACGACACGTACGGGATGATACGGGGTAGTGGATATTCTAACACCGCCACTACGAGGTGAGTCAGTAGTTCATATATTCTCAAAGATCTTAAATATATTTGCAATGTAAATGACTGCTTAGTGTAGTGGCCGTAACCCGGACTACTTATCACGTGGTCCTAGATTCGAATCCCGGACTATAAGACTGAAGGAACAGAGAGCGCACCTATGCTGTTGCACACACTGGCCGCTGTAACCGGAATTCGTACTGGAGGACATTACATTATACCAGTACACATTCTTGAAGTAGCACTCCTAGAGGAGTTAGTACAGTAACCACTTACAATCAAGTGGACGGACTTAAAGTCGGGTGGTTTGTTGGTCTAATATTAAAAAAAAATCGTTTAATTTCTTCAACCTGTGTCATGGGTGTCGTAAGATGTAACTTTTAAATTTGGCAGAAACATCTCACGGCTGTAAACAGATGGCGGTATAACCATAAAACGTAATCCCCAGACAAGCGACTGGTACCAGAGTTTTATGAGCAAAACATCTGAATCTGAGATCGCCAATTCGACCGCCAAGCGTAACGATTATCAGAAAACCTCCTTACAACGGTAGAGACCCAAGCCCAGTAGTGGACTTTGCAGGCTGGTAAAGAAGAAATAAAAAGTTGATACAGGCTAGTAAGAACCCGTAACGAAGAACAATAAAAGCTCACCTGATGTCGTTCTTCCCGTTGTCAATCGCACGCACCAGTTTCCCGGTGTTGTCGCCGTACTCGCCACACGACACCTCGATGATGAACGACGCCGGGTTGTGGTACGAGGGACACTGCAGACCCAAGCTGCCCAGCCATTCCACTGCACAAAATGACAATAAAAAAATCTTGTACATGTAATAAAATTTTCCGTATTAAGTACGATTACAGGCATCAATATGCTAGTAACATACTAGTAGGATAAGGTTAATCGTTAGCGGCTGTACTAGTTTTATATTAAAAACTGTATTGACGCTAAAAATATTCAATATATGTGGTTGAACCATGCTGCAGTTATATTATGGTTAGTTTTTATTGTTTGTTTAGAATTAACAGGCGTACACTTTTATGTTTTAACGTTTTGAACACACATACACACACACACACGCTCGCGCACGCGCACGCGC